GGGTCAGGCAGCAGTCAAGCAGCCACCATGGAGCCATTTGGAAATAAGGAAGTGAGCAGAATAAGCACCTATTTTTGCAGAAATGATCTGCAATTAAACTGATTTTAGCTGTTCTAGGCCACCCACAGGAAGACATCTTAAGGCTTGAGAACAGGCATTAAGTACAGCTTCACAAAGGCAGGAAAACTGATGCGTTCATGTTTTTATACCCATTTCCCACATGACAGGGTCTAGGAGATCACTGCCTGTCCATCTTTGCTCTGTTTAATACAGTTGCTGAAAGCAATTAAACATGTCACAGAACTGAAAGATAATGAGATTTCTACCCATTGTGTAAAAGCAGCTGAGCGGAGGAGAGAAACCCTAAAATTGCCTGACCAGCTTGGGGATGAGTTTGCACGCTGCTGGAGATGAGCAGTTTCAGATGGGGACCAGCTGTGGCTCTGGGCTATGTGCGCCAGGAAGGCACAGATTCTGCCTGGGGATGTGAAGCAGGGATGGGCAGGTGACTGACTGGAAAGGGAAGTGGGACACGGACCTTCTATGTCTATGTTAAAGAGGAATCACTGGGTGCTGGTCTCTGAAGCTTGGGAAAATATGGTGTACCCAAAGTGACAGCAAAGTTAGGTAGAAATTGCATTTCAGTTTCTTCTTTGTATCTACTTAGGCACTCAGTGGGATTTACTGGGAAGCATTCTGAAATCACTGAATTCTTGACACCTCAAATAATCTGATATTTAAAAGGTTTCCTCTGTTCCTTCATATCATACACAAGTGAAGTGAAATGTGGGGTGGCCAAGATGTCTCTTGGACTCTGCTCCTCCCCCTGCAAGCACTGAAGTGGCCAAGGCTGCAAGGAAGAGATTGGGCTACTCAAGAAAAGTGTAGCAGCAGCTCCTGACTTCTCTCCTCCCTGAACAAAAGCAGCTGTAAATGCTGAAACACTGGGGTATGCAGTTGAAGCATTTTTAGATAAATTGATAAGGATTTGGAAGTTTTTCTAAAACACCTAGCTAGCAGCTAGAGATTTGGCAATGGCTGACCTACTCTTGTATGTATGAATTTGGATCACAGCTCCCTGGAACTAGATGATCTCTTCCAACCCAAACTATTCTGTAATTCCTTGCTACACTGAAGCATTTCAGGATCTTCACCATGAACCTTAGAGTCCTTCTGAGTGCTCATCCAGCACCTGCTAACTCTAGACAGATCACTCTGATTTGCATTAGAAATCCCATCCTGACATACAGAACTTCTCACAAATGATGTCCCAGGTCCCAGAATATCCAAGTGTTATGCCATGGGTAACGGTAAGAATGACAAATACTACAGTTCTGGTTAGTAACAAAATATAGTTGGCTCTCAGCTGGTTCAAGGCTCAGTCATAACAACCAAAGCTTGATGGTGACACACAGTAATGAAGACAGACAGTGGGGTGATGTGGGAGTGATAAGAAGTGGTTAGATTCTTCTTACACAAGCAAATCTTGCTATGTCTTGTCTTAGGAAACTATTTCAACTATCTCTCCTATGATAAAAGGGGCATACCCAAATTGAGGGTTAAAAATGGAAAATCCTGCAGCTGAAAGAATATCCATCACAAGGAGACATACTGGAGATGGCTGAGAGAGACATCAAGGGTTTCATGAGAGTTACAGACTATTCAGAAAGGGCTGAATTTTAAAGCTTATAAAGCTTTTTTTTTTTTCCCCCTCTAACCTGGGATGCTTTCTTCTTAAGCTTAGCAGACCCTGAGGTCCTAATCAGCACTGGATGTTTAGATGACTTGGCAATCTTCCTGAACATTTTCTTTAAAATGAATACACTTTACAAGCACTAAGCAAGTCACAAACTGCCTTGACTTCCAGGAATAAGAAGAAGGTTCAGAGAATGCAACCCTGGAGTCCCTGATGGAAATTCAGCATATCTAACGGCAGAACCTTCCCATCTACACCCTCCTTTTCATTCAATTTTCTACCCTGTGCACATTTGCTACAAGGCAGTCGAGATGTCTCTGTGCAGCCAGGCTCATTCCAACTGGCAGCTCTGGATCAAAGAGCACTGGAAACATTAATCACCAGTGTGCCTAATCACTTCCAATCACAAGAAGCTTTTCTCTGTGACCTGGCATATAAACATGGAGTCATTTCATTCACTGGTTGACAGACCAGAAACCAAACAATCCTTATCATACCTAATTCATCTTACTCCTCTGGGTTATAGGTGGATCAGCCTGCGATTCTCCAGCAGCCGTGGCAAACTTTAGGCGCTTTACTTAATCAAACTAATTAGCACCCTGTCTGTAGCGCCTTTTATCTGTTGGTGCCAAAGTAGTTTACAAGCATTAAGTGCATCTAATTTCATGATAGCAGAGCAAGATGTGGTTAATATTTTTAAAAGCACCTCCAGTAATGAGGGAGAGTTCTTGGTTTAAAGCCGGGAAGGGGCTCAAAGTGGCAAGTTTAGCTGATGCATGAAAACCACTTTGAAAATTAAGCGAGCAAATGGTGAAGTCAGGGAGGGAGCCCAGGAATTTTGATTGCCAGCTATCTGTGCTGCCCGCACTGCCATATGGTTTGTAGCAAAAGGCAAGAAATAATCAAAGCAGACATCTGTGCCCAGAGCCTTATCTATTTGGGCACCATCCTCCGGACAGCCGCGCTTTGAGCACAAACAAAGCATGATGAGATCTCCTCTCCCATCAGTGGGTCGGAAGGAGATGTTGTACCTCCTGCTCCAGTTCAAGAATATGTGTGTGTGTCTGCCACCTGTTTGGGAGTTTGCTCCCTCAGTAACATTGATTTCTCACTTAATGCCAGGAGCACAACAGCACTGTCACTGTTGCAAGGACAGCTGACAGAAACTAAGGGTGTTTTAGCTTTCCTTGGCTTGGGGGGGGGAAAAGAAAGAATTATGCTAAAGGTCAGTCTGTTCCAGGGCAGCTTGTTCCTGCTTTGAAGGAGAACCAAGGGGTGGTACAGGAACCTGCTGCTACACCTGATAGGATTCCATAGATAAGAGCCAGTGATGGGGCTGTGCAGGAGCAGTTTGCAAACATGCATTACCTGCTTTGAGCCTCTCTTAAAACTGCCTGGTATACATTTTGTACCTTCTTCTCCCCAGTGCATGGTAACAGAGATGTCAACACAGAACAGTATTTCAGTGTCTTTTCCCTGGGAGCAGATACCTTTGGGAAGAGGTGAGGGGAGACTGGAAGTGGTGCATGAGTACACAGAAACTTCCTTCCTACCTGATTCACTGCAGTGGGTTAGTTTTTAGTTAAATGAAGGATTTCCCGGCAGAAAGGCTGCCAATCCAAAGCTTGGGAGAGCTGGATTTCAACACCTGCTTAGCCACAGGCTCACTGCCTGATCATGCACAAGGTACTCAGAAGCCTCTTGTTTAATGGTACTGACCTATCTGGCTCCTGGTAGGAAGTCCACAACACTGAGCTGGTGGGATGCAGAAGATTAGGCATCTATGAATAGGTTTGGCAAGTGGCAGGACATCCAGTAATGGCTGCCAACCAGGGTAGAATGAAGTGCCAAAAGGCAGGAGCAAATTTCCCCCAAATCTCTGCTATTTGAAGCACATGGCTCCATGAAAATTGACCGTTGGGTGGGCTGTGAGGGGCTGCTTCACCCCCCCCTGCACCAGTATCTGTGGAGGTTTAGCTCATTATCCTCCTCACTCTCATCTTCCCACACCAGGTTTCTACAGCGCTGTGCAGACCCCACACTGAACCTTATCCTTTCGATTCCCAGTACCAATCTGCTGCAGAAGTTAAAAAATCAACTGGGAAGAAGGGGCTGATCACAGGTGCTGGGGCCCTTCTCTTGCCTTGAACAGGGAGCAGGAACCAGACAGGGCAGCTGGAAGCAGCACCACCCTCATCAGCTTCAGGGAGAGGTGCCAGAGCCAGTCCCTGGGTATTACTTTCTCTCTGCAAATGGCTGGGTATGGGGAATTCATACCTCTGCCTGCTGGTCAGGTACAGGGAGGAGGTAGGGGAGGCTTTGTCTGTGGAGTCGCACAAATTCTAGGCGGTAAAATGGTAAAGCGTAGCTGCATCTCCCTCCAGTTGTGAACAGTATTGTTTTGGTTGCTGACCTGGCAGAGGCAGCATCTCAGTGCCATCTCAGTACTGTGAGCCTACAGGGTCCCAAGAGGGCAGGAGACAAAGCAGCCTGAGGTGTCATGGCCAGCAGTGCCAGCAGGATCGCTCTGGGCACCTGGCAGTTGTACCAGTGTCTTAGAATCATGGAATCATCAACTATCCAGAGTTGGAAGGGACTCAAGAGAATCACTGAGTCCAACTCCTGGCTCCACACAGGACCACCTAAAATTCAAACCTTGTGTCTGAGAGTGTTCTCCACACTCTCCTTGAACTCCAGCAGCTCGGGGCTGTGCCCACTGCCCTGGGGATCCCGTTCCATGCCCACTGCACTTTGGTGCAGACCCTGTCCCTGACTCCCACCTGAACGCAGCTCCATGCCGTTCCCTGGGCCCTGTCGCTGTCACACAGCAGAGCTCAGCGCTGCCCTCCGCTCCCTGTGAGGAGCTGCAGCCGCCATCAGGCCTCCCCTCAGCTCCTCTGCTCTGGGCCAAACAAACCTGGAAACTTCCGTTGCTGCTCACACATCTTGCCTTCCAGACTCCTCCTCATCTTCGTAGCCCTCCTTTGGACACTCTCTAATATTATGTCCTCACGTTGTGGCACCCAAATGTGCACCCAGTGCTCAAGGCGAGGTCGCACAGTGCTGAGCAGAGTGGGACAACCCCTTCCCTTGCCTGGTGGCAGTGCTGGCCGGGTGCACCCCAGGGTGAGGTGGGGATTTGGGCCTGGTGCCCGAGACTTTTCTATAGCTGCTTTATTTCCTATCATCAGAGAGGGAACAAGGACAGAACACTACCAGATATCTCAGTCCCACAGGGAGAAGAAGCAGAACACTTCAAGATATGAAGCATTCAAAGAAACCCTCTTTTGTCACAGGTGACCAGCTAGCATTGAGACTGTTCCAGACACCGGCCATGGGTGCCTGTGAGGAAGATCTCAGGAGCTGCAACACCAGCTTAGCCCTTCCTTGTTCCTGAGAGGACAAGAAAAAAAGGAAGGACACATGAGAGGAAGGAAAGGAGCTGGTGCTGACACTGTACAATGAAGAATGAAACTAGAAATGCCAAAGTCATAGGAAAGTGAACTGTTCTCATAATGATCATTTTCTGGTGTGGAAAAATGAGTTTGAAACAATTAACTTTTCCCAAGCTCTAAACAGTTGAAAGCAAGGTCTAGCTGGATGCATCAGGCAGCCAGTGACCAGCTGCCTCTGACACACTCAGCAGGTCAGCTTCTTGGCTGGCAAAAAGCAATCCAAATCCATCAGTCAATGGAGTAGCACTGATTTCTTTAGGTAAATAAAACATGGTTCTCCTGCTGCTTCTTCAGGAAGCAGCTATGGGGGTGAATTTTCCAAATCTGTCTGAAGCTTCTTCCCTGCCAGTAGAAAGACAGAGTTGCTGTGGAGAATGGCTTAGCAAAATCTTGGATTAATCACAGACAGCCAGACGTTCATCTTCCCAGAGCCAAGAAAGCTGTTGGTAACCTTGTTCTTCCCTGGGAGTTTTGCAACTGTGCTATGACACTGCTAACTGAAGTTAATATACCCTTCCTCTGAGCAAAGCTTTTTAGTTGAGCCTTGGCACTAATAGAAGGCCCCAGAGCTCAGGGACCACAACAAGCACCCATCTGTCTATCCCCACATATCTGCATGGATGTGCCCTACATAAAAACAAAGCACCAGATGCAACCATGACAACTGTAGAGATGCACACTGCTGTCACCTGAAGGAGAGTCAAGGAAAAATGTGAGAGCTGTGCTAGTGGTGCCTTTGTCATCGTCTCCTTCCTCTCATTTGAAATTTGCTACTAGTAACAAAAAAATGGTAAGATAAGACAAGCTGTAAGACGCTCAACTCTGAGCGTACCATCAGAGCAGGATTGCTACTAGCCTCTCCTGTCTTGACCTGCTGCATTTTTGAAGTTCAAATGAGCACAGCTTCTCTCTTCATTCTTCTCCATTCTCTGTTCATTCACTAATTAGATTTGAAAGTGGGTCAAAGTGAAACCCATGCCATCTTGCTTAAATAAAAAGGAAACTAGAACAAAATCAGCAATAATCAAAACTCAGCTTTTGGCTTCCGCTCATCTTCTCCTTTGATTTACCATCCACTAGTTTATAAAAAAATATTCGCTGTTATGAAAATCTGCATGTGTGAATAAACATTTTGAGAACAGAACACTGCAGCAAGCAAGGGGGAAAAATCACAGCTTTTTAAGTTATGTGAAATATATTTATTCAAAACTAAGAATGAAATTGAAGGATAAAAATCTTCTTTCAGAGAGGCCACCATTTTCATATGTTCTCCGTAATGACAGGATTTTCAGGGAGCTTGAATATACTCCATGTTTGTTGTTTTCTAAGAGCACTGTTATCCTGTAAATGCAGAAACAAACACAAAACCTTTGGCCACCCATCAGCAAATGAATGACAAATAGGTAAAAGAAGGTTGTACTTCTGTTACTCTCTCAGATGAAAGAAAAAATCGAAATAAAAAAAATCAAGGAGTGCACAAGGATGAGGACCATCAGGCTACGGTTTTCTCTAGCTTTGCTGAAGCCCTGGAGCATCATCTTCCCAACAAAATCTCTGGGAAGGTGTCACTGCTTATGGTTTTATGTAAATAATCTGTGCTATCATATTCTCAATGCCCATGGATTTAGGACTTTATTCCTACTCACTGTAAAACAGTATTTCTTTGTTAATGTAAATAATTTTGCCGGCACCTCCATCCGAAGCCACTGCAAAGTGGGTGCATCACCTTCAAGCTTCATTGGGAGCCTCCACTGCTGATAGTCCTGCTTGCAAATGGGACATTTGTGAGAAGAATCATGCTGCTGCTAGCTGATAGCAAGAGCCCTCCCTCCACCACCAGGAAGACAGGGACGAAAGCCTTGACACCAGGCCACTAATGATGTTGGAGCTTAGCCACAAGGACATCCACTCACAGCAGCTTTGCAACATAGCATGGATAGAGAGACTGAGATGCAGGGAGGGACCTGGCAATCAGAGTTCATTACAGAAACTCAGCAAAATCTATCTATTCAAAAACACTTGCAAGAGTTACATCTCAACAGCCTGACTGCATTTTCCCCCTCTCATAGCCAATCAATCAGCCTGAAAAAATCTCTCCAAATGCATTACTCCTCTCTGAGCATCTTCCAAAAGGAAAAGCTACAGAAAGCAAGCTTGCCTTTAAGGGTGATCAAAATATTCCAAAGTCCTGATGCTTTCTGCCTTCCCCTATGTTTGTCTACTTTTAGATCTCTGTCCTTTAATTTCTCTGACAGGTGGACGGAGTGCCTGGTGAAACATCAGTGGAGCCCAGCAAGTGGGTCAGGTTCAACATGGGACCTCCAGGGACCACTCAGCTTGTGAGAGCTGACTGCAGTTTCTGTATTATTTGCAGCATAGACAGCGTCAGACAGATCACCATTGGGTGCTTTGTTCTGATAGCTCCTTCTGACTCATACAGGCAGATGCAGCAGCAAGGGGATTAATCTTATTCAGCTTCAGACAATGAGTGTAGGAATAGACATCTCAACCAGCTGTCTGTCCTCCACTCATACTTTCTGGAGGGAAACAGACATTATCACAGGGCAGCTCACCTGTTTTAGACAATTGCCTTAAATCAAGATGGCTCAATGGCTTTTGATCCAATAGTTTAAACTGTGCCATGTACTGGAGGATCTCCCTATATCTGGGATGGATGGAGGAAGGTGCTGAGCATTGTCAGGACTCTGAATGTAAAGACAGAATGACAGACATTATCTACCCTGCATTCAGTATCTTGCAGATCACTCCCCTTCACCCAACATCTCTACATAATAAGCTCAATATTTTAGAGTAAAGCTGCAAAGCACATAGATGACCCAAGGCAGACAATGGGATTTTCTCCAAAATCCGGAAAGCCATAAGGCTTCCAAGGGTTCCTTCTGCACATCAAGCCACTGACCAAAGTTTCTTCCATCAGATCTGGGAGTCAAGTCACCCTTTCCCAGCCTTCTTCCCAAATAGCCAAATAAATAACCGAGCTCCTTAAGCCTCACATCAAGGAGTTTTGGTTTTGCAATCTCAAGTCACTTCATGGCTCTCCTTGAAATACTTCTTGGCATTTTCCCATCTCTCTTCAAGTGCAGACACCTGCAACTCTGTCTTCAAAAGGCAGCATCCCTTCCCTGAATATACTTACCCTTCAGAATTAGGGAAATCCTTTCTGTCTCATTGCTCCATCAAGAGCTTGGATTCTGTTACTATGCATGAAGACCTATTAAACTTCTCTGACACTGTGTTGTGAAGATAGCCCCACTTAGGCTTGAGACTGAACCTGAATTCATTTCCAACCACACCACAATATATTTAAATACCACAAGTGCATGATTTTGTGTTTTGTTATTTGTTGGTTTGCATAGTGCTATTTATCAGAGACAGCCCTTAGAGGGTTCATTATATCATTAGTAGTAAACAGTTCAAAGGAATATTCCCAGTCACTGCTGATTAAATTCTTACTGCTGTTACACTGCTCCTTCACATGCTCTTGGCTCATGACAATTAGCACCATCCTGAATACAGAGCAACAGTCAAGACAGACCATTCCCAACGATCAGCTGACTGTGGGCACCGAGTATGGAAAGATGGAAAGTTGATGCTATGTGGATACAGGCTGTCCTGTGACATTTGGCAAAGTGACAGAATCATGGAATAGTTAAGGTTGGAAGAGGACTCTGGAGGTGAAGAAAGCAGCCTCAGGAGTGTCAAACCGACTCATCATACACCCCATGCCTTTGCTTCAAAACTCGTTTCTGCCACATTATTTTTTCTTTTCTCCAACTAGAGCACTGCTTTGGGCTTTCCCCAGTTTCTCTGTTGCAACAAGGTAGGGTACAGGACTGGAATTCAGGGACTCCTACACAGGCAACTAAGCTGCCTCTTACTTTCCTGCTGGCTTCTGTAGCCCCAGCTTTGGTAGCATGCAAACAAAGTATGTGGTCATTAGCATGGTGCTTTTCAATCTGTCTTTGCCTTGCTTCAGGATCACACAGTGCACAACTCCCACTGGGAACACAGATGAGACCATTGTTAGCTGTTCTACAGTGATGAGTTGGTGCTCAGATGTTTGATAAATCAGGGCTGTCACTGGGCATCACTCATTCCTGCAGTTGTGGGATGTCTATAATAATCAAGGTGGATTTACTTTTTGCCACCCATACTGAAATGTGAGTAACAAGTCCAAGTTCATCTTTCTTACAGGACAATTCAAAAGCAAAATAAGATGAAAAGATGACAGAACAGGTCAGTTTTGTTGTCTGCATATTACCAATGCAAATTTTTTCATGGAAACTCAAAAAACCCCAAACCCTGACTGTATGATTCATAAATACTAAAGGCTGAGGGAAACCAGTAAAATGATTTTGTCTGACCTCCTGCCTCATAAAGACCACAGAATTTCATCCAGTGATTTCTGCCTGAAGCCCAATAATTTGTGGTTCTAACGGAACATCTCGACCGGCCTACTGTCCAGCTTTGATGTGAGGATGTCAAATGAGGTGCTGACCACTTCCTGTGCTGTCAAAAACTGGCTCTTCTACAGGTTGTCAGCAGTTCTTCAGCACTGCATAACTTGCCGTAGCCTTCTTGAGGACACATAACTTTTCATGTGTTTTTGCCCTTTCAATCAAAACTCTCAAATCATCATAATGAAGTAAAATAGGGATTCTGAAGCACAAAATACTGAATAAGGACATGCCAAGAGAAAGAAAACAGAGCATCTCAAAATAATCTTTTGTAGCTGTTAAATGGGTGAAATCAACTTTAAAATGCAATTCAAGGTCCACTTGTTTTCCCACTTGAGATAACACAGTGCAGAAGTTATTTTGGTTAGAAACAAAAATTTTCCAAACATACATTTATCTGTCTGTATGACTTGCTAGGAAAACACATTTATTTGGTTATAAAAGCAATTTTTTTTTCTACCACTTGTAAAGCTTGCTACAGTTTCACAACAACAAATATTTCCAAAGCAGAGACCTTGAAGAGCTGGAGCAAAATCCACTTCAGAACCATTTACCTAAGACAGGCTCAGTAAAAACACAGCTTGCTGTTAACTGCACCTTCCAACCTTTTGTTTCCATTTTTTTTGTGGTTGGAAGCACTGATGGAGTAGTGAGGACTTTTCCATTTTTTTAAGGAAACAAATCCAAAATGGCAAGAAGAAGGCTGCAAAGCCAGACCCCTCTCAAGTGAAAAGAATTAGGTTGAATATCAACTTAATACAAGCTCTTCCTTCATTGTGCCTTGCAAGTGCAGCATTTGATGACAGTCCTAGTGATAAAAGTTCCTGCACTCACTGACCTTCAAGATGACTCCCACCCCTGGAACTCCAGTATGTGTTTGAGAGTGGGAAAGGATTTCAGGCACCACACCTCAACTCCTGCTCCTGCAAGTAGCCATTCATCACTAAATAACCATATTCATGTTTAATAAAATCAAGCCAGAAGGTTCATTCCAACAGTGTCTCTTTCATTCCACTTTCAAAGAGATACTTTCTCACCTTTTGCATCTTACCGTCTACCTGCACTTGTGCTGTGGTCAAACATGGGCTGAAAAGCAAAAGCTTGGGGTGGTCGGTGTGGTGCCATTGATAACAGTGCCCAGGGCTTATGCAGGGTGTCTCCAGGGGGCTGAGATCCACACCACATGCTTATAGCCATACTCCTTGTTCAGTTCAGTTAGTGAGGTGATTGCTGCACAAGTGCAAGAGCACCTCTGGCTGTGGCCTTCTCAGCCACCCACAGGCTACTGCTACCCACGTGGCACATAGGAGTATGGCATCACACAGAGCTAAAAAAGCATGACATGATGACTTATGAGTGAGACAATCATTTAACAGTCCAGGTCTACATAAAATATCTAGTGTTTCACCACATGTGAGGCTTCAGTTAAGGCAGACTCCTCAGTGAAGCTGTGGATGCCCCATCCTTGGAAGCATTCAAGGCCAGGTTAGATGGGGCCCTGGTGATGGGGCCTAATCTGGTGGTGGGTGGCAACCCTGCCCACAGCAGCTGGTTGAAGCTGGAAGGATTTGAGGGTCTCTTTGAACTCGAATAATTCTGTGATTCTATGATTTTATCATTCAAGGTTTACGGCACAGTCGTTCTGCTTGTGGGAACTCATTAAATCCATTTAAATCCTGTTTGTATCTAAGTGTACAGGTGCAAGCCAAACTGATGCAGCCTGTCTGAAACCAGAACACCTGAAGCATTTCTGTACTCGGAGATCTGTGGAAATGAAGGCTGCTGTCATGATGCAAAGATGCTGTATGTTCACATACCTGCACTGGCACTAAGTGGATTCACTGAACAGTGGCTTAGCTGAAAAGAAATTCCTTTTGTACGTACAAAAAGTCTGTGGCACCCCATCTGTCCAAGTTTTGGATAACCAACAGTTACAGCTCTGCTTTTAAAGCATCCATCTTGAAGTATATTAACAGGCAAAAGTGCTGCTTCAATCCCAATAACACAGCAGTGTAGACAACAGGGTGAAACTCTGCAGCCAGCGTAACTATAAGCCTCATAGTTTCCACTGATGATACCGTAATGATTTTGTAACTCTCATTTATTTTACACTATTTCAGATGCCAGTTTGTGGCAAATATTTTGCACAAGGAAAAAAAAACCCAAACCCCATCCTTGACAGAAACAGTCCTGGCATGTTTGGAATGTGCAAAACCAGAAAAGAGCCATTTCTGTTCACATTACTCCTCATGAAAACCCTTTTCAAAGATTCAGTTTCAGAACCCCTTCAGGATTGTGTTTCACTTTGAGATGCCACTTATCAGCCAAAGCCCAGGTGGGTTTGTGCATCTGACTGTTGTGCATTTTGCTTTGAACTCCTGGACTGTTACAGGCATGGCTACTGAACTGGCTGAGCCATTTTCCCCTCCTCCTTTGTCCCCAGGTTCTGGGTAGATAAAAGCCACACCAGGCTTGCTGCCCTACCAATGCAATTTGACTGTTAATTTTACACTGAAGAAAAACCAAACAACAAAACTCATCACCACACACAACGATTATCGCCATTACCCACATGAATGCCAGAGCACCCACAAAACCAAACCCAGCTGCAGTATGTATCTCTGGACGTATACAGCAGTAGTTTCTAGTTTTGCAGTTCCCTGTTGCTCTGAAGTGTCCTTTTATCTCTTCATTGTTTCTACAGTTTTTTTCATCCCTGTGACTTGTACTGCTGCTGTGAACGCAGCATGCAGACTCTTGTTCACTGCTGGCAAAAATGCATAGCTAATGACAATGTCTGTGTTGAAAAATAGTGTTTTGTAGTTGAGAATTTGTTCTATCAAAGAGTGTTATTGTGCTCTTTGCATCTGCTGCAGTTTCCATGGAAACAAATAGGAGGCATTATTTTCAGAGCAAACTACGTAGCTAAACTCTTGCCAGCATCTTCTTGTTTTCCATCTCTTTCTTTTCCTGAGCTCCCTGAAGATTTCTGGGCTCATCTTCCCAGACAGAACATCACCATGGACACATGGCAGTGTATGGTGTGAGGTTCAGATCTAGCCCAAACACCAGAAAACAGTCCAGGGCAAACCTGAAACACAAGGATGTCACCTCCAGTTTCCAGCTATTGCTGATTTTTTTTTCGCATAGCTTGACATAGAGCTTTACAGAATGCGAAGAGACAACAAGAACTCTGGTGGGAAAAACATTAAACACAGTAAATAACAGAAATAAAATAGGTATCTTGCAAGGAACTGAAGAAAGAAAAGGTGAACAGCTAAGCAGGAATTCCCCGGTGGTCTGAGTTTATCTGTGCAATTGAGTTCAAGGCTTTTTTTTTTAGTATGACCTTGATGTGCATACAAAGGATCTTTAACCACAAATACCCTGTTTTGGAAGACAAAAATAAAATAAAATAAAATAAAATAAAAAAGGACTTTTGCTGTGAAGGGTGAAATGAATGGTTTTTGACACTATATGGCATGTCAGAAAGCCTCTCTCCTCGATAATGCAACTCACAAAGGCACACCGTAGCTCCTACTTACTCCCCACCCTGGGGTCAGCAGCGCACGGTGCAGCTCCTCTGTAGTGCTTCCATAGTTAGAAAACCTGAAACTGAAAGAAAAACAAGCAGGTGAGTTTATTTGCATTCCAGAATCACAATTAGCACAACACCAAATTAGCTGGTAGGAAGCGGAAGAGTAAAAAGGAAAACCGCCAACTTTAAAATGCAAATCTTCACACTACAATGGCAAGCCACAACCAGGACTCCTATGGGTGACGAAGGCAAGAACACATTTTTCACTATTTTTTCAATGTGGCCATCTCATGAACTTGACAGAGGCTTGTGATGTGTGGTTTCATTCCTATCCCATATATAGTCACATCTTATTTCCTGAATAGAGGACTAACAGAAAAGCAAAAAACCTTCAAAATCATTGTACAGGTCTTTCTGCCTTTCCTTTTTTTTTTTTTTTTTGGTAACTTTGCTGCGCTAAAACCCATCATCTTTGAAATTAGTACAATATAAAAAAATGGATATTAGGCTCTTAGATCTTAGGCTCTTAGATCTTAAAGAATATAGGTAGCTGGTGTCCTCTCAAGCTCTCACATACTATCTGCAGCATAAAATGAAATTTTATGTATTGTGTTTCAGTATGGCATATGTACATATATATACACATACAATTCCTGTATACCAAGAATGGTGCTTCCTCCAATGAACACAGTAAGCAATGTTTGATCATGCTTTGCATTTGTAGCACTCATCTTAGTACTCCAGAACCATCATCAGTCAGAACTCCACAGAAAGATCAGAGGCAAGTAAAAGCTTGCTTTACAGATGAGTAAGTGAGACAATCATAATTCTAAAAATGCACATCTTTGCATTTTTCTGCAGAACTCACTTCACCATTTTATCTGCCAGGGTTAGACCTGTGCCTCTGAAAAAGTCATGTCATTAGAAGCCAGAAAAAAAAAAGACGGACAAATTAGAGTTCAGTTGAGAAGCACCAGGCTGTCTCATGTAGGCAGACTTGCCCAAAGAGGCTGAGTTCATTTATCCAGGAGAAGGGACACCTTTGAGGAATCCAGCAGCAGCTCCCAGAGCTTCTGGGATGGGACTGAGAAGGCAGAGCTAGGCTCTTCACTGTAGTGTCGAGCAGAAAAATGAGAGACAATACACTTGAAAGAAGTTCAGACTGGAAGTTGGGAAAAGTTTTTTTTATGTGGAACTTGCTATGACTTCCCATTTCTGGAGGTTTTCAAGACTGGACTGAAGTCATACGTAATTTGGCCTAATGTCACATCCAACCCTGCTCTGCACTGGTATGGCTAGAAACCTCCTAGATCCCTTTCAGACTTATCCTGCAGTCCTACAATCTGTCTTAGAAATGCTACCAGTGCAGAGACTTTGGAAGAAAGGATGGGGATCATTCAGTACTCAAGTACTAAGATATCATCCAAGCAAAACAGTTGAGAAAAACAACCATAACTCAAGTCCAGGAGGTCCATCAGGAAGACAGACCAGCTCATTTTACAGACTGTTAACCAAAGGGCATGATAATCACTTTCTGTCTGCTCTTTCCTCAGACTTTCTCTGGACATAAGCTATAAGATCTTCAGGATAGATCAGGTTTCTTGAAGGCCCTAAAAGGTACATTGTCAGCATCACAACTTACATTCCTCTCAGGACATAATAAATGCCACTTCTGCCTCCAGTCCCACCATGACCAGCAAACTGTCCATCTCCATTTGAAAGGAACAGTTTGGGAAGCAGTAGTCAAGGAACCTCTGTTGGTGTCCAATCTGTAGCACACAAAAAGCGGTGTTAGAGAGCAGTCACAGCTCCTCCTACTCCCACAAACACACATATTTACAGAATAAACAGGATTTCCTAAGCTCAGTATACAGCATCAGCTGTAAAAAGACTCTCAGTAATTCCTGAGGCTGCAATTTCTAATACACATAATCAAGACGTCTCAAAAACCCTTCCCACTGGTCCACCAGTTGCAATATTCTGGTGCGCAATGAGCCAGCTACACCACCAGCATGACCCTCCCCCATTCTCCAGCTCTTGTGTCGTGAAAGGTGTTGGAGCAATCCTTTGCTTCCAGTCAAAATAATGCACGTGGCTAAGGGACAGGAAATGTCACAACCAAGGAGATGAAAAGGAACCTTACAGACAGGGCTGCTGAGCTCTCACTTAGAGGAATTCATACCAACAATGAAGCAACCATCACATGGAGGGGTAGGCAAGAGAGGAAGGAATGGATGAGGAAAGGTTCATTTGCTTGCCAGAGGTCATCCACGAGGTCTGCAACAAAGTCAAGCTTCCCTTTTTTCCCAGTGTCTTGATGCTCCCTGCCCTCTTCATGCCTTCTGTGTTAGGGGGCAAAGCTGCTCTACTAACACTGCACGTAACCACGCTTCCTTTGAGAGACCAAAGCTGAAGGGATGCCAGTTCCCCACCAGAAGTCATTCATGACCAAATAATACCTTTTAACAATGCAAAACTGCATCTACATTGACACTAATCTGACTTTGAAAATACATTTGCTAACTTGCCTTGTGAGGCGGTCTATTCTCACAAGGCCTTAGATGGCTCTAAGGGTTCCACATATAGGTTTTTATACTTGGAAGTGAGACCAATAAGCATTTTTATACTTATCTGCTCAGAGATTTTTATTTTTAGTACAGAAAAGGGTATCAGATCACTCAGTTTCAACTTCTGTCGAAACTCCTGTGTAACCCAGGCTAGCTAATTTAAAGCAGTTCCTACATATTGAGCCCCCATAGTGACTTGTGCTGGCCTAAATTTCTGCAACTGTACCCATACGGACGTCTGTATAAAACAGCAAGAGAAACCACAGCTTAAGTCAAAATTAGTACCTTGGTACAAAAATAAGATTAAAACCCCTACCTCCTCTTCCTCCTGGAGAAGCGAGGTCTTGGAGCCAGATGTGCCTTTGGAAACAATCTCCCCCTCCTCCTCCCACCCCGTCCTCCTTCGTTGAAGCAATGTCTCTGGGCAATACTTTGCAGCCTTGTTTGATACAGAAGGATGATTTCTGTCTGGGAAACCAGGCAGACTGAGTCGGAGCAGAGCAGACCCTGGGCATGCAATTACCAAAGTAGCAGCAACAATATGTTAATTCACTGGATCCCTCTGAAATGAAGCACAGTGCGAGTCCCTGGAAAAAGTGAAAAGGAGCCTGTTAAGGAAACTCTGTGAAGGCCTTGTGCACAGCAGCCCCTTGGAGTCTCGACAAAGACAGACTTTGCACAGCCATCATTTTTAGAGCATCAGCAGCAGCCAGCATGCCTCCTCTTCCTGCTGCGGTGCATCATACATGGCCAGCAGGAGTGAAGGGAATCACCCCAAGGCCGACAGCTCACTCCTGCTGTGGCCCGTCAGGATGGAGACACATCAGCAAACGACGTCACATGCACCAGAAAAGGAGGGCTACGCATGGTGAGCTGATACATGGTGAGCTGATATGGTGCAGTGGGCATTGCAGTGATGGGTTGATGGCTGGACTAGATGATCTTACTGGTCTTCTCCAACCTTAATGATTTTATGATTCTATGATACATCCTTATTTTAAAGAACTGCAAACATGTGAAGTAGCCCTTGCAAGGAGTGCCTCATCTGTGGCAAGCTCATCCTGCCATGTGCCTTCTCTGCATATCCAGTTTTCTCACACTTCAGCACGCAACAGGGGTGCCTTGTTGCAGGCAACATTCCTTCCCATTTAGGGGGAAAGGGTTTAAGAAAATCTCTTCTGCCTCTGTCTGCTTGATGGACTATCCACTTGCCCACTTACATGCTTCCAGTGCTGCTTTAAGATGACTACAAATCTCCCTGAGGACTAAACAGTTATTTCCATCAACATGGCTCTAAATCTGTGCAGCCTCTTGTACAGAACTGTATTCTATAATCAATAAATTAAATCTGCCAAGTGAAAGAGCTGTATACTGAGGATCTTTCTGCAGGACACTAACCACTGAGCTGGTATATTGTGGTCAGCTGAACATCTGTGCCAACACAATTCTTCAGGGACATAAAAATAGCTTTCATGCACACATGTAAGTGTTACCCCAGGGAGGAGCAGGCAACCTGGTTAGCCACAAGAAGTGTGGCCCACAGGTTGCTCCAAAACCCCTGGGTTTTCTGCAGGGACAGGATCTAACAGTAGAAGACATCTGACATGCATTGGCCTTTTTTGGATATATATATATATATATATATATATATTTTTTTTTTAGTACAAGGCTATGAGAAATCATAGTTTGCTCTTTTTTAAAAACGTACCTATTTTGCATGGATTGACTTGTGGTGTCCAAGGAGAACACAGGGAAAGCAGAGCACCATAGCGAAACACAAAGATACCAGAAATCCTGTCCTTGTCTAGACTTGGTTTCTGGCCTTTCACAGTGCTCCTGCTGGCTGTCCCTGAAGCAGAGCACTTCACTGCCCAGTGATGTGTCTCAGACAAGGCAGTTTCCTGAAAAGCACTCACAACACACAGTTAAAAGCTTAGGTTGAGACAAGCAATAAAACAAGCCTGCTTCTGGTTTCTGAGTGTCTCACGCTGGGCTGAATATTCAACGCTTTCCATGTTTACTCACTCACAGGTTATCTGTGCTGCACAATCAGCAAAACTCCTGCAAAACACTTGCTGGGGCTCCGCTACCAGGAGGTCTGTAATGGAGTTGTTCTAGAGAAAAATAGAACTGTTATCGTACCTACGGCTGTCTCAACACAATTAGTCATACATGATGGAGAGATAGGAGTCCTCTCAAGGCTCTTACCGTCTCATCAGCAGCTGAAGTCAAAATGAAAACATCCTAACCATCAACAACCAACATGAAAGCTGAATCATGAATCCTGAAAGCAGCCTCAAAACTATCAAGAGATGCTTCTTCCCCAGAAGCAGACAGCTGGATTCCTTCTGTCTGTCCTGTGTTTCTTCTTCCCCTATCATTTCCTGACATTGCTCATCTCCTCACTAGAGCAATCCTTCTCTGCTCCAGCTGAAAGGACTGTGGGGTCAGGAGAAGAAACCACGCTCGGGTTAGGTAGAAAAGGCCAAAACTTCAGCATCGGA